AATAATAATAATAATAATAATAATAATAATAATAATAATAATAATAACAACAACAAAAACAAAGAAGCCAAGAAAAAATAAGATGGGAAAAAAGTGATAGATTCTGAGCTCACCATGAATTTACATGTTTACCGTGGACTGAGTATAAGTGAGCATATGGAGTTAGACAAATACTAGAGTCAGTAACTAGAAGGCTTGGGGCTGACAGGCTCGAAGGATAGATTCAAATGGAAGAGAGCTTCCAGCAGAAGTTGCCTTGATTAAGGATTGGTTTTGAAATAGTTGGAGCTTGGGAGGCCTATATGACATCCAAAGAAAGTCACAGAATTGAGAAATGGATTTGTCACAAGGACAAAGAAGAGATGATGATGAGCTCAATAGGACTGAGCTTCGAGGCACACCAACAAGACGATGCCGGAAGATGAGACATGAATCCCATCAAAAAAGCAAAATAAAGCATTGTGACAAATGCTAAGTGAACACAATCTGTCAAGCTGAAGGAAATGTTCCACAGTGACAGATCCTCCTGATAACCCAAGGAGGAGGAAGACTGATACAAGACCATTAGAAATATTGGGAAGGAAGTTGTGCCAAGAACTATATGGTTTCTACATGTAATGGCAAGGGTAGAGAGGATCTATTTTTCTTTCATTAATGTCAAATATTGTATTTTGAGAATTAATTTGGAAGAATACCACCTTCATTTAAATATAAATATGTCATGAAGGAAGCAGTGGACCCAAATCCATCTTCCATGCCTTCATTTCCTTGCCCATTTCAAAGCTTAGCCGAGTTTCCTTACCAGTCATCAGTTTGCTTGGAAATTTTCCTGAAAGTGTAAATCAGAATGAAACATCAAAACTTTTTTGGCTTATCTATTATATGACAGTTATTTGTAATCTGTTCAAATTCCTGTATTCTCTAAAACCTATTTATAATTTTCTCTTAAAATTTACAGCGTCTTAGCATCTGCTTTGATACACTCCTAGGTAGAGTCTTTCAGAGGCCCTCTATGGTAGGCTTCTGTCCTGTTTCTTGTGTTTTCCTACTTTCAATGTTCATCCTATTTGTCTTTCTAAGTGAGGATTGATCATCTTACTCTGCATCCTCCTTCTTGTTTAGCTTCTTTAGGTGTACAGATTTTAATATGTTTATCCTATCTTATAGGTCTAGAATGCACTAGCAGTGTATGAAAGCAGATGCGGAGACTCATAACCAAACCTTGGGCAGAGTGCAGGGAATCATATAAAAAAAGGGGGAGTTATAAAGACCTGGAGAGGACAGGAGCTCCACAAGGACCAAATATATCTGGGCACAGGGGTCTTTTCTGAGACTGATTCTCCAACCAAGACTGTGCATGAATATAACCTAGAATCCCTACTCGGATGTAGCCCATGACAGGTCAGTCTCCAAGTAAGGGGAACAGGGTGTCTCTGACATGAACTCAGTGTCTGGCTCTTTGACCCCATCCCATCCCCTGAGGGAGGAGCAGTCTTGCTAAGCCACAGAAGAGGACATTGCAACCAGTCTTGAAGAGACCTGATAACCTAGGGTCAGATGGAAGGGGAGGAGGACCTCCCCTATAGGTGGACTTAGAGAAGGGCAGGGAGGAGATGAAAGAAGGAGGGTGGGATTGGGAGGGAATGAGGGAGAGGGCTACAGCTGGGATACAAAGTAAATAAACCGTAATTAATATAAAAATTAAAAATAAAAAAATTCCCAACGTCAAAAATGCAAATGTATACGATATACTTATCCGACATTAGTACAGTATAACTTGATCTGTTCTATGTGAAAGAGATCACATCATGAGGAAGGAGTCCAGAAAGAGTCCTTTCCCCTTCTTTTTCTTGTTTTTGAGGTAGAATCTCATGTATCCCAGGCTGGCCCTGAATTCATCATGTAGCTGAGGATGATTTTCAACTTCTCATTCCCCTGCCTCAACCTCCCAAGTGCTGGGATTACACCATATCAGGTTTTAGGTTACGTTCTAAAGACGAAAGTCAGGGCTTGGAGCATATTACAGATCACTCTACCAACAGAGCTGCATCCCAGCCCGTAGTCTTGTTTTTTTCTATAACACTGTCTTAGGAACTAACTCACAGCAGGACAGGGGCACAATCTCTTCTCTGAGTGTTATCTTAATGACTTTATTACTTTTCTCTGGGCCCTGCCCTAAAGACTCTCCAACCTCTTACATCAGCACACTGAGGGCCAAGCTTTGAGGACATGCTCTTGGGCGATGTACTCAAACAGTATCCATCACTTCTAAAACACTATTCTTTAAAACTATATCCATACCTTTAAAACTATCCCCAGCAACAATTTGGTGGCTTCACAAAAAGTTAAACACTCATCTGCCATTTGGTCCAGCTCTTTGTTTCCCGAGAGTTGTCTCACCCCAAATGAAAACATATGCCCATACATTGATTTATACACTAATGTCCAGGGCACCTCTATTTACCACATTCAAAATGGGAATATAAGCTGGATCTCCATCAAGCAGTAAGTGGATAAATAGTCGTATATACAAACAGTTGACTTAGTTATAAAAGGAAGCAACTTTTAAAATAAATTGTGTGTGTGTGTGTGTGTGTGCAGACACATGCACTTTTGCACACACTCACAGAGGCCCAGGGAGGACAAGGTGTCCTGCTCTATGAACCTACACTTCTGAAATAGGGTCTCTCATTGAACCGGAGCTAAGCTTCTGACCAGCAAAACCCAGTGATTTCCCATCTCCCACTCCTTACATCTCTGGGTTATAGGCCCTAGTGCAGTCTCATCTAGCTTCTCACACAAGCACTGGAAAATGAACTCAGATGGACAGTGGAAATGGCATTATCAACCCTGGATTAAGGTGAAATGTTCAACAGATAGCATTCACATAACTGATTATACACCTGAGAGTGGGAATAAAATCATTTTCCTAGTTTCAACACACACAAAGACAAATTCCAGATAGTTAAAAGACTTAGCTATGAAGAGTAGTGGTAAACATTTCTAAACCTATACAACTTACTTTTATAATGTCACATTAAAAAATATCCAGTCTCAAGTATGATACAAAGGCGCTCACATAAGAAATAAAGTCAAGAATGAAGCCACAGATTGAGAGAATGTTTGTCAACCATATAATTGACAAGAGATTAGGATATTAAATGTGTAAACAAACAAACAAAAGACTATTCAGTGGTAAGATTGGCAGAGCAGAAGAAGCAATGACCAAAGATTGCATAAAAATTATCAGTTGGCCTACCTGATCAGGGAAATGAAACCAGAAATCACTATCACAATTCCAAAGAATGCTCAGAGTGATCATGCAAAGAGACTCGATTCTGCAGGTTTGGAGAGTAGATTCAATGTTTTGGCCATATGTTATGTATCAGGCACACTTGGCCCTAACCAAAAAGATTTCCTTCACCCTTCTCTGATTAGATAACATAGCTCAATGAAAATTTCAAAATATCAAATATTTCTTGAACCCCTGTACTCCTTGGGTTAGCCATGCAAGCCACTTCTGACCAATGAAACTTAAGAAGAAGCCAGAGGCGTGGAGGAGGGATTCAGGGAAAGACGTTGTTATCTGGTGAGAGGAGTCCTGAAGTCCAGTCTCCCTGTTCTTTTTACTCTAGATGTGAATATTTGAAGACACAATGCCTAGAACTGCCACAGCCGTTTTTTGACAAAAGGCTTGAAGATAAAAGATATCCCAGGACATGACAACATGACAGACTAGAAAGAAAGAGCCTAGCTTTTACTGAGCTGCTGAGCTGACTCTGGGTCACCTCACTTGTGAGTATTATTTCAGGGCTGATCACCTGTATTGGATAATCAATTAGGGGGCTCATTCAAGAGAAAGGAGAATTCACCCAAAAAGACCATCAGTTGGAAAGGAATATTACAGAAGGATCATGGGAGTGGTTGCAGGGAAGAAAGGAGGGAAATAAAGTGATGTAATTATATTTTAATTTGAAAAAATTTAACAAAAATTAAAATATTTTAACTGCTAAAACCCATCTTTGTAGATGATCAGTTTTCCTTGACGTCACTGAGACAATTCCACATCCCCCCGTATGACTAGGCTAAGGTAAAAAGGGAGAATTTGGGACTGGGGTGATGGCTCAGTGGATAACATTCATGCTGCTCCAGGATGAGAACCTGAGAGAGAGAGAGAGAGAGAGAGAGAGAGAGAGAGAGAACAGAGTACTCACAGGCTGCAGGAGCTGCCCCTGCTGAGATCTCCATTTTTTACTTCCAGAATTCCAGACAGTCAGTCAGGTAGTACATTTCTGTTGCTGAAGTCACATTTTTCGTAAGTACCTGTTGCAGCAAACTAAGAAGCCAGTGAACGTAACCATGGAGCATTCTATGGCTCATATTTGTGCACAGATAAATGCCACCAAAATTGTAAAATACCCTTCACTGGAAAAAAAAAACAACAGTTAATTCCACATAATAAAAGTGTTCGAGGAATGTGAATTAAGTAAGAACAGACTGGACCTAATACCCTCTTTTACCATACTGGCAATCAGCAAGCCGAGGAGGACACCTGGCAGAGCCAGGGTGCGAGGAAATGGAAGCATTCCCTGTGTCAACAAAAGAACTGCCCCGTGAAGAGAAACTGGGCATTGTTTTGACTTCAAAATAAAAAATAATTTATGTTTTAACTTAGCAAATATATTCTTAAGATTCTCTTACACACACACAGACACAGAGAAAGAGGGAAGGAGAGGGAGAGGGAGAGAAACTTTCTCATAGCATTGCTTGGAAATATTGCAAAAATTGAAGCACTGAAAATGCCCCTGGATGCAAATCCAGAGTACAGTAAGTTCAGCTAGTGTGGCTCTATTAACTGTGAAAATGAGACCCAGCGTTAACTGTGGAGGAACAGGGAAGTGAGACATAGAAAAGATGTTGAAAACAAAAGTATATGCTACCTTATGCTGAGAACATTTCTAGAAAGCTATGTGCTACCCACCCACTTGCTGCTGCTGCGCCTGCTGTTCTGTTTGCTATTGCTGGTGTGCTGGACTGCTGGATAGGCTGACGAAGAAGATTGGAGTTGCACCAAGGAACCCAACATCCCTAAACACAACATTAGCAGGAAGCAGCCTACAGAGCTCTACGCTGCCTTTTCCCTCTAACCTTCTTTCTCTCCTACCTAGTGTTGGGGGATTGGGAAGGCTTGGGTGGAATAAAGGTTGGAAGGGAGGTAGAGGTATAAGAACCTAAATAAAATAGATTTAAAAAAAATACCCCTATAGCTACAAGAGAAACAAATGGCAGGATTAGTCTCTGAGAAACGGGGAAAAAATTGAGGGAGGTATTTTGTAACTATTCATTTATAACTGAATTAAAATAACAATTTCAAAAGATTCTAGGATCATTGTACTGGCTAGTTTTTGTCAACTTGACACAAGCTACACATGCCTAGAAGAAGGAAGCTTAACCGAGAAATTGTCTGTATTGGACTGGTTCTGTGGGCACATCTGTGGAACATTTTCTTAATTGCTGATTGATATGAGAGGGCTCCTGCCCAAGCTGTCCTCAAACTCCACATATAATCCAGGTTGGCCTCAAGACAGGCTCCTCCTGATTCTTAATGATGAGATGAATGCATGTACCCACATGAACCTAGATATATTTTGATAGTAGAAGCCATTTGATTTAGTTTGTGATTGCATATGAAATGTGAAGAAAAAAAAAGAAAAGAGAAGTGATACCAAGATTTTTGAGTTGGAAAATAAGTTGCTATTTCAAATAACAAGAGGATGAAATGAAACAAGCTGAGAAAGGCACCAGGGATTTGACTTTGTACAACTGCATTTTGTAATGCCCACAGCTGTCCGAGTGGAGATTTTTCAACAGGAAGTTGGGTATGTCAGTCTTGAATAGTAAAGTTTTGGGTGGGGCTATACCTTTAGAAGCAAACAGCAGCGTATAGAGAGATTAAGGGAAGAAAATGTTTCAAAAGGTGGGTGTGAAATCAGCTCTTTCAAGTGATTCTGATCGGTCAACTGAGATGAAGGCCCAAAGCTAACAGCAGACTGATGAATCCAAAAAGATTGGTTTAAGGTAAATAGTAATGACACTGGAATGAACTAAATAAAAATTTACTTAAGAGCTTCTGGATATCTTTCTTAGTTGAATTTTTGTCTTGCTACTATTTATCTATTCACAGTGAGACAGCCAGCATGATCTTTAATTAAGCAGTAACACGCCAGTACATAGTATTTTCAACATACATCACTAGTGGCATTAATCCTGTCTCTGAAGGTCAAAAAAAAAGACCTTGAAGTAAAACTTATGTCACTTAGAATATAATGTTAACAATAACAATAGCATAAGCATAAAATATAAATATAATAATTACATATCACATATCCAGAGACATGATTATATTGTTATTAGGAACTAAGATTTTCAATATAAGATAAATTAGATACAAACATAAAATGAAGGCTATTAAGTTCTTGTGCTTATACTCCAGATTGAGGTTATAAATGCGAACTCATACTGTGTCTGTCTCGCCTTTACAATACTATATGTCTTCTAGTGGCCAGAGAGATGATTCAGCAGCTAAGAGCATGTACTGCTTCTCTAGAGGACCTGAGTTTGATTTCCAGCACCCACGTTAGGCAGCTCCCAACTGCCTGTAACACCCACCTCACAGGGGACCCGAAACTCTCTTCTGTCCTCCAAGGGCACTGGACTCACATGCACAAGCATTCACACGTGTACACACAACTTCAAAGATAAAATATTAAAAACGCTATCTCCTAGAACTATCTACTGAAGTCCAGAGAAAGCATGCCAGCTTGCTGTGAGCAGCACTGACACGCTCTCTAAGCTTTGTTTCTGCCAACGGCGGTCAGGGTTCCTCGTTCCTCGTCGTAACAGCCAATGCCGTCTTGAGGGCAGGACAGTCGCAGAGTGAGTTTGGGACACCTCGGACTGGGGATTGGGTCTTGCCCTGAGAGTGTGAGCTCCTGCCTTGTACATCAGAGGTCCCGACTCCATGGCCCTGGGATTCCAGGCCTTCTATCAGCAGTCAGCCTGACCCACACGATTTTGGTCCCAGATGGAGGGTCACATTGCTGGCTCTGAGGCCTGAGACTTGGGACTGAGCGGTGCTGGGTCACCAGCCTGAAAAGGCCAGCTGTGAGAGTCCTCAGTCATCAGAACCACATGAGCCAGTTCTGCTAGCAAATTCCCCTCTTATCTGCCCAGCCACATCTTTTACCAGCGGCTCTGTTTCTATGAAGAGCCCTGACTAATACATTTGCCACCTGACTGAGGAAGAGAAAGAATCAAGCACTTATCCACCTTTCTTTTATGAACTCTCTTTCAGAACAACCAATGAAGAAAGCCCATTCCCCCAGAAGAATTTAAATACACAAAAGCTCCCCTCACCCCACCTCCTTGAGCGTTCTTAAAAGAACCAAAGGACTCTCTCAATTACAAAATAGTGATTGGCTAACCCCTGTGGAACTGGTCAATCTTGGTCTCTTTTCTGCCTTCCCAGGGCTAGAAGGATTATCAGATGCCACCAAACTAACGGAATGAAAAGTCATTGTGGAATCTAAGAACAGATGACCCTATACAATGCCCAGCTCTAATAATCTTCAAACTCTGGGACAATGTGACATTCTGGGCCGTTTGATGTGATGCTTGAAGGAGGCTTCTCTGTGATGTACTTCTGCCCACCCCCGAGTCTAATCAGCTCTCACCCGGCTGTCGGTTGCTTCTAGAAGAGCATGTTAAGCAGCACCATGGAGGCCAGTGAGATGATGCAGCTGGTCAAAACAGCAGCTGTACAAGCCTGACAACCCCAGTTTGTTCCGTGGGACCCACATGAAGGCGGAAGGGGAAAACTGACCTCCACACAGGCACCATGGCACATGGGTACCATGCCCTTGTGCCCTCGCACACATCACACACATCCACACAATGATAATAACTCAAAGCACAAAAGTGAACACCACCACGTGAATGTAACCATCCAAACCCAGAGGGTGGAAAATCCTAAGCCAAAAGGCCATTCTGTCCCACATACTAATAACTATCTGTAAATGGAGAGAAAATTGTGGTAAGTTAAAAAAAAATGCAATCTTGAACTTAATCATTAATCAGTGTAAAATATGACTCCTCAGTAGAACAAATCCAAGTTATATTATGTCTTTAAGAAGACCCTGGAAGATTAGACATGGCCTGGGCATTACTAAAATGTCACCTTCCAGGGAAGCTGTCCCTGTTCTACTTCCATAATTAAAAATGTAAGCCCTCTTCCACATTCTTGCTATCTCTTCCCACCATGTGCTATATTGTATATGTTCTTGCTTTGTTTCATGCCTACCTCTAGTTGTGAGAATGCAAGTTCCTAAAACTAAAAGAATTCTGTGGGTTTTGCTCACAGTTAGGAGCTAGAAGAATCTGCAAGAGTTCAGAAATACAGCCAGCCCTTTGTGCATGTGGCTGCCGCGTTTGTGAATCCAAACCACCTCAGACTGGAAATATTCAGAATAAGTTGCCTCCAAACATACACACAGTTTCCCTCTTGCTATCATTCTCTGGACTACAGGACATAACAACAATTTATGTGGCATTTACGGGGCATTAGCTATTTTAAGAAATCCAGAGAAGATGTAAAATATGAGTGCAAAATAAAGATTATATGCAAATATCTCAGAATTTTATAGAAGAGCTGTAGTACACAGATTTTGGTTGTCTTCTGGGAGTCTTGGGCTTCCTAAAACCAGCTCCCCATAGGTACAAAGGAATAACAGTATTCATGAATAAATATGTTACAAAATTCTTAAAACTTTGAAGGAAGGCCAAAGATAAGCAGCATTTCTTTGCAGTGTCATACTGGGATGTTGATATAATTTGGATATTGTCTGTGTCCGTATCCCAAAGGTTTCCATTCTGGAAGCTTGGCCCACCTTTAAAAAGTGGGACCTAATAGAAGATGTTAAATTAAAGGTCATCACTCTCAGAATAAATGAATCCTGTTCTGAAGGTGAGAGTTAGTTCCTGTGTAGGTGATCTGTTCTGTGGGTTTCATCATGATGCCACTTGCCATGCTGTGATGTAGCCAGGAGGCTCTGACCAGAGCCCAGGAGCTACAGCACCAAGTTCTTGGACTTCTAAAATTGTAAGCTAAATTTAACTTTCCTTCATCTATTTTCCAACATCTTATACTTCATTATACTAATAGCAATGGAGTAAGACAGGTACTGTTGGAAAGATTTACTCAAAATACAATTATCCAGTAAAATATGGCTGTCATTCCTTTTCATATGAAGGTATAGTTCCAACCTTTTAAAGTTAGAG